CAAAAGTAATATCATGTTCCCTCTACTCTTCCCTTCAGAACAATCCTAATTTACTCTTTCCTGACAGGTCTTACTTTCTAGACCTCTGATCCTCCTTGCACATGTAATGACTATCTGGATGTAGTGATCAAAAATGGCAGCTCCCACAGGTCCCTGTGAAAGAAATTTGGTGTTATATAAAATGGCAAAACCCCTCAGTATGAGAAAAACGAAAAGCAGCCATTTTTCTCTTGAACAAAATTATATCAGACAAGGAAACAGGGAACTACTTCATGTAAAGTAGCCACACAACTTGATTTCTGGTGGCAATTTCCATTGCCTAAGTCAGATGTATCCCTGGCTGGTGGGAAAGATGGAGAGCAAGACTCTTCCAGAGGTCAGCTGGGAGCCGAAGGCTGAGGAAGACACACTCAGGTACTTCAGCTCGTTCTGTCTCTCACCATTTAGTAATTTTAGCACAATAAAAATTATATCTTAAGTGGATGCTAATGTGTTAATGCACTAGAAATCCAAGTGTTACAGTATGAGGTGTTAGAGAAGATCCACGAGTTCAAGACCCAAATCTCTTTCGCTGTTTTTAGAGATGTACATTAGTCCACACCTTCCATTAGAGGGACGTGAAATCAGGGTGAGTCAGCTCATCTTGAACTTCACTGCTGAGCCCATTTCACATGAAAGATCATCTCCTGTTCATAACTGTAAGACTTGTGTCAGTGGCAGCAAAAGGAAAGGAGGGCAAGACTCACAAGAGGAGAGAAAACATCGTTGTCACCGTCTCCTCCAGTTCTGTCGAAATCCTTTCTGTAAGAGATTAAAATGACTGTCCATCTCTCTGCCTCTGAGCTGAATGAGGAAGTCTATCTCTGTCTTAAGTGTCTTCAAAAAGAATCAATAAAATCATAGAATGGCCTGGATTGGGAGGGACCTTAAAGATCATCTCAATCCACCCCCTGCCATGGGCAGGGACACCTCCCACTAGCCCAGGTCGCTCCAAGCCCTGTCCAGCCTGGCCTTGGACACTTCCAGGGATGGGGCAGCCACAACTTCTCTGGGCAAACTGTGCCAGGGCCTCCCCACCCTCACAGGGAAGAAATTCTTCCTAATCTAACCCTCCTCTCTGTCAATTTGAATCCATTCCCCCTTGTTCTGTCACTCCATCCCTTGTAAATAGTCTCTCTCCATCTTTCCTACTGTCTCCCCTCAGGTGCTGGGAGGCCACAACCAGGTCACCCTGAAGCTTCTCTTCTTCAGGCTGAACAATCCCAGTTCTCTCAGCCTTTCCTTATAGGACAAGTGCTCCATCCCTCTGATCATCTTAGTGCCTCCTCTGAACCATGCAAGGAGCTTAGGAAAGGGAGAAGAGGAGGAACTGGAGAAGTAACAGCAGTAAACAGAAAATTCTGGCACCTCTGGACTGAACGGAAGTGTCACCACTGACATCACTAAAAGCAGGATCAAGACTGATTGGTTTTTAGAAACCAATTTTGAATTATGAGTTTCTCTTTCCAAACGAGCAGTAAGTGCTTCCCTTCACACAGAAGTCAGCACAGCAATAGTGCTTTCTATTACACTTTAAATTGATTGGCTTTATGGCCCAGTCCTGGGGAGTTGCCATGGCATGATCTCGGCTGGCTCATGTTTCTAATTCCGGCAACTCTAAATCCAGATGCCCTGGAAATCCACGGCACATACTGGAGGGTAATCTCCATTTTAGTGTGCACAGGCAAAATATAGGACTTGGGATATATGGAAGATTAGCACATAAGGTTAAAAGAAAACCAAAGTAGAAACTGCAGCAGAAAATGTTTAGACGTAGAGCGCGTAGGTGTAAAAATAAACCACAATGATTATTCCACAAGTGTTTCAGCTGAGAGAATTCCAGCATTATTTTTTGCATTGTCTAAGATGTTTCTTATGGGAGCAACTAAGCAATTGCCATATGAAGGTCTGTGATGGAGAGATTCAGAAAACACAATTTCAAGTCCATGCTCTTCCTTTGTGTGCTTGATGTTCGTCCTTGTTCAGGACATCAAAACCTGCAGTTGTGCTACCAGGTGAAAACAAGTCTCTGTACTGAATAAAAAAGCTTAAAAAACATGTAGTATGTTGTCATGAAGGGGGAAAGGAGGTTACAGACAGGTGAAGATTGGATCCTTCTCCAAGGTAACAAGCGATAGAACAAGAAGAAACAGTATCAAGTTGTGCCAGGGTAGGTTTGGATATTATGGAAAATGTCTTCACTAAAAAGGTTGTCGAGCACTGGAATGGGTTGTTCAGGGAAGTGGTGGAATCACCATCCCCGGAGCTGTTCAGAAAAGGGGTCGATGTCCCCTTAGGGACATGGTTTAGTGCTGAACCTGGCAGTTGGACTTGATGGTCTTAGAGGTCTTTTCCAACCTAAATGATTCCATGATTCCAGGATGTGGCAGTAGGGCTGCAGAACTGCCTGTGTGAAGAGCTGCAGAAGCCCCTCTCAGTGCTGGAGGATGGCTCATGACTCCAGTTTGGTGGGAGGAGATCACCCTGAGGGCATTAATCTACCTTTGATCCACACATGGAATTCCAGCTGCTGTCAGGGAAAGCTGTGCATGCCCAACCACAGCTGTACATCATCCCAAAAAAGGCCCAAGAGGAGCTCGTATATAAGAGGAGCGTGGAGATTTTCGATGCTTTGTATAATAAATATCAGCACATTTAGAAAAAAAAATGTGGGCTTACGTGCCTGAGGTGGGAAAAAAAGCTATAGCTAAGTCTGATTTACTAGAAGAAAACATCCAAAGCTGATGAAACACTAGATAAAAAACTGATCTTGAAATGTCAGGAATCAGTGAGGAAAACAGAACTGTCAATTTTGTCCTATTAAAACTCCCTTTTATTTTACCTCCTTTTCTCTTTTATTTCTAATAACAGCCCATTAAAACTGCTGCACTCACAATTTGCTGGTATTTGCTGTTCTATTTTAATACTATCTATTAGTTCTTCCCTCCTTTCCTTTTAATATTTACACATATCATCAAATACTGGGCAAAATTTCTCTGCTTAAAAAAAAAAAATCCCATGAGTAGAAACCAATTTCACATAACTTGTTACTGAGGGCATGGCTGGGCTTTCTGTGCAGCTCCAGAGTCCCATTGAGTTTAAGGTAGCTGAGGACACTTTTATATTAGAAACAGTCTGTGCTAATATAATTGGGTGCATTGTTATTTCTTAACTTCATCTAAAAATAACACATCGAAATCAGCTGGACTGAGAAAAAAATCAGCTTCTATTCAATGGATTAATAAATAACTGATAATGAAATGACTGAGAAAAATCGTGGCCAGAAGCATCAGTTTGACATAAGAAGATTCTCCAGCCTGAAGGATTCCAGCTGGAAAAGCACAGTTTTAAAGTCTTACATTTCCTCCATTTCATGTGTATTCACCAGTGCTTATGCAGTCCAAATAATCTGTGCCTGTCCTTATGTGTGTCAAATACCAGGAGGGCGTGGGGAAAAGGAGCAGCCAGTAACACCTGAAGGCACCTCAGGGGCACCTGAGCCTTGGCCTGAGCTCTCACACTCCAAATATGACCCTCCAGGAGCCAGTGAAACCTCTACATTGACCTGAGGGGGACAGGACAACCCTCTGCATCCAATTTGGATCCCCCTGAAGGGAGGTTGAACTGTTGATACAACAGCAAGAGAGGTCGTGGTCCCTAGAACACCACTGGGATGATATGATATAGACATATTTTCTTCCAAAGAAGAACTATAGGTAAATTCCATCTGATGCTTTTATTTCTCTGTCCGTGTCTGATAAAGGAATTAAGGAACAGAGAGGGAAAAAGAAAAGTGAAGCCTCATAAACTGCTTCACTAACTGCTACTCAGAGAAGATTCTCTATTCTGATTTTCCTCTATCAACGTATTCAAAAATGCTAAAATTTCTTCTTGAATAATTTATAATATACAAACCCAAGAATATTTGAGAAATTCCCTAAAAAAGTGCCAGGAGGGGAACCTCAATATTGAATATATTTATCTGAAGACACCAGACAAATAGAAATCTCTTGGAGACAAGAAAAGGGGTCACCAGACCAGCGAAGGAATTTTAAGCCCAGACTAATGGCACGGTGAGGTGTCTGCCTCGTGCAGCCTCTGCAGCTGGGAGTGTTTCTGCCCAGGACCACTCTCTGTGTGCTGGAGAGTTCCAGCACTGTATTTCCCACAGCTCAGAGCTCCGGCCTTCCCTCCTAATTCCAGGATTTCCGTGTTACTCTGTTGGGGCCCCCAAAGGCAGGATGCCCCGTGGGAAGCTCTCCCTGAGCCGTGGGCCGTGCCCTGCACCCCGGCAGGGGCACAGGAGGCATCTCTCCCCGGAGCACGGGCTGGCAGCTCTCCCAGCCCAGTGCATGTGGGTTTTGCGTCACGGATTAATCACATCCCGGCCCTGCTCCCCCTCCCACACTTGGGTTCCCACATGTTCTCCTGCCCCAGTAATAGGCAGCTGGAGGCGATTCCCTTCCCCAGGGAGCTGGGGGTGAGTGCCCAGTGGGAGCTGGGTTTGCCGGGGCTTTTAGGCAGGAATGCAGCTGGAATCGAGGCACTGGCTGTGTATAAACCCTTTCCACACTCGGATCCAGAACCTCTAAACCATTCCCTAGCTCTAAGAAAACCGAGAGAGCTGGGAAGCAGCTCCCATCTATAATAATTACAAGAGAGTTTCCCTTGCCCTTGCACTATTTATTGCTTTTACCCTTGCTGTAGATTGCTGGAGACACAGAGACTATTAAAGCTTGGCATATTTCTTTCTGGACAGGCAGAGCAAGCTTTGGAAGAAAACTCCCTCTTTCTCTCCACCATTGCCACTTCTGTTGGAGAGGGAAGGGGCTGGTTCACACTGCAGGCTAACTGGAGCATTGAATGCCTGCTGTGCAAGGACTGCAGTGGGGGGAACGTTCGCCCCCAGTGGAAAGGGAATGCTGTGAGGATAGTTCAGAAAAGTACAGTGACTGCTCAAGTATCCTTTTCTAAGTTGTGTCTCTCTCCTTTATTTTCACAAGGCTGTCAGGGAGGAAAGGTGCATTTCAGTCATGACGACTGAGGCTGGGAAGAGGCAGCTGAAGGGCACCTGCCAGCTCCCGTCCTGCTGAGATGCATATCTGCCGACTCCACAGCTCCAGGATGGGGTTTTGCAAGGAAATAGCTCGCTTGCCAATAATAATAATTATCATTAATAACCGAGTGACGTCCTAGTCTTGGTTACATCAGCTGTAGCCTTCTCTGGAGCTCCTGCCAATCTCACTCGCACCGGTCCTGTTCTCAGCAGGGTGTGTGGAGCAGCGACAGAAGGGCCGTGAGCTGCTGTGGCTGGAGGGAGATGCAGGGCATGGCCCGCGGTGACTTCTGTCTCCTGGCTGCGGGGACAAGAGGACACGGCCTGGACAAACCCTGTGATAGCCGCCTCTGCGGCCAGCGGAGACTTCTCACCCCGCTGGAAAACTGCGGGGACGGAAAGGATGGAGGGCGAGGTGCGGAGCGATCCCCCTCCTCCGCCGGGGCATCCCGCGGGGCTGCCCCGAGTCACAGCCGGCCGGGGGCGAGGGCAGAGGCGGCACAGGGATGTCCGTGGGCCCGGGGCCGGCCCTGCCTGCGGGCGGAGGACCCGGCGGGATGTCCGCCCTCCCCGCGGAGCCCCGCAGCGCTCGCTGATCTGCATTCCAGGGGCATCCCCCCTTTCCCAGCCCCCCTCTCCCTCCCCTCTTCCAGCCCCTTCGCACAACCCGACGGCAGGAGCCCTGGCAAGGATAAGGAGCGATATTCGGTGGCATTTGGGAAAGTTGCAAGGTCGGGGCTCCCCGTCCTATACTCCAGCCCTCCCCAGCGACCAGCACCCACGGGGAAGGGGGTCTGCCCCCCAAACACAGCGAGGTGCGGCGGGGAGCGCCCAGAGGTCGTTTTTCTGAGGTGCTGCCAAAGCCGCTGTGCGATCTTGTTAAAAGAACAAACTGTTGTGATTTCCCCTCTCGCCCTTCCTCTCCGCCTTCCCCCCCCATCCCTAAAGGGGGGTGTCAGCGCACGGCGCCTGCCGGTCCCCCATGTCGCTCCCGCGTCAGAAAATGAATGATGCAGCAATTTAATTAGGAGGGAGCGGTGCATCCATATTGCACCGGTGCAGGAGAGCTCGGGAGCCGGGGGAAAATGGTTCGCGTCCGCGGGCGCGGACGCTGCGCCCCTGCCCGCGCAGAGCGGCCCCGGGGCGGCGGGACCCCGCGGGTCCCCCGGGACCTCCCGCCCGCACCAGCAGCTTTGCCCCTCAACTTTTTGCTACCGAGCCGCGGTTCCAGTTAAGTCTCCTCCCGGCCGGGTCCCCCCGGGGGGCGGGAGGGGAACTCGGGTTCAAGGCGGCAGCCGGGAATGGCGAGGGGTGCGGGATGCCCCGGGAGTTCCGCGGCTCCCGCTGCGCGCGGAGATGAGCGCAGATGTGTGTGCGGGGATGGGCGGGGATGCGTGCGCGTGTGCAGGGGTGCGCAGGGGTGTGCGCGGGTGCGGACAGCGGGGACGCGCGGAGCACCGCGGGGGTCGCCTCCTGCCCTGCCCGCAGCCCTTCCCTCCCGCCTGGGTGCGACCCAGGGGGGACCCGCAGCCCCCCGTCCGCGACTCCCACCCGCCTCAAGGCGCATCTCACCCACCAACTTTGACCCGCGGGAGAACCCGCGCAAAGCTCCGCTGCGCCCCCTGCGCGGACCCTGCGCCCCCCGCGCAGCCCCGTTACCTGCCGGCGGCTCCCGGGCCGGGCGGGCACCGCTCCGTCCTCCGCGGGCGCGGCCCCTCCGCCCCCGTGCACACCCCGCGCCGGGCGGGAGGATGCGGGAGGTGCCGGGTCTCTCCCCCGAGGGGTTTGGCTTTGCGGGAAGCGGCTGGATCGTGGCGAGGCTGCGGGGCGGGAGCGGCCCCTGGACGGAAGGAAAGGCAGCAGGACCGAGAGGAGGATGAGCTGGCGGCGGGGAGAGCGGGGCGGCCGGACCGAGATCCCCGGGCTGCTCCCCGCCGCAGCCCTCCGCTGGCACTCGTAGTCAGAGCAGCTTTGATTTCCTCCAGACTTAGGCTTTTTTTTTTTTCCTTTTTTCCTCCTGTATTTTTTTTTTTTTAGGAAGGGGGGGAGTGAAAATTCTGCCCCATCCCAGCGTCTTTTCCCTCTCTGATTCTTCTTAGGCTTTTCCCTCCCCCATCTGCTCGTTTCCCACTTCCCTTCCTCTCCGCCAACCACCAGCCCCCTCCTTCTCTCTTTAAAAAAAAAAAGAAAAAAAAAAACAAAAGGCAAGGAAAAAAAAAAAAAAACCCACCCAAAAAAACTGTATAGTCAGGGCTTCCCAAATGCGCGCCCCCGACCTGGAGCCAAGCGCGCCCCCTTCATTTGTTCCCCTTCTTGAAGCTCATTTTCATGACGTGGAAAAGCCTGATCCAGGGCAACAACAGCACCACACGCACACACACACACACCCCCGCCCCGCACACACCGCACACACACACCCGCACACGGGGAGGGAGCGCAGCCCGCGCTCCGCCGCGCCCCAGCCTCCCGCTCCGCGCTGCCGCTGCCCGGAGAAGGCGGCGGCGGCGGCGCTGGAGCCTGCAGCAGCCCCTCTCCTCCCTCCTCCATTGAGTGTGCCAAACAGCAGCTCTGCATCCTAAAGAAGATCATTGAGGGGCTCATTGCATTCCCAGCACGTTTCAGGCTTGCTTCTTTTTTTTTTTTTTTCCTGCCTTTTTTTTTTTTTCCTTTTGCCTCAGCTTCAGCAGGAGTAGAGAGAGAGGGAGAGAGAGCCACAGAGAGGGAGAGGCAGAGAGAAACCAGCAATCTTTAAACTCGAGCTTTTTTTTCCCCCCCTTTCCCTCTTTTGCTTTTTTTCTATTGTAACGATGTGCTAAAATCTCTCCTGCAAACCGGTAAGTACAACCTTTCTGGATCCTTTTGTTTCCGCCTAGGGTCAAAGACACCCCCCTCTTCCAAAAAGAAGATATAATAATCCTCTTTATTTATTTTTTTATTTTTATTACAGCCCTTGCAGAAGAGAAAGAACTTAATATTTTGCAAAGGAGACAGAGAGACTGATACTGCAATATAGCTCTCATCTCTCTCCCTTCTCCCCAATTAGATGCTGGTTTTAATTGCAGAGGGTATTTCTCTTTTCGTGCTTTCAACCATCTCCTCTTTCCCACAGGGGAGGGTTTCATTTGCAAGTTGATCCTAAGGATTTCTGTTCCTCTGGCATTTCTCTCCCCTAAATGCATCTTTCTGCTCTTAAGTTTGTGGATGGGGGGCAAATTTTTCTAGTTCTTGCACGAGGAAGGCAAAAAGGACCTTTTCTATTGAGAGATTAAGACTAAAAGCAACGATCGCTCCGAATGATTCTAATGGGCATTTCAGGGATTCAAGGAAGGCTGCATCACCACCGTTATTATTACCATCCTTAGCGTTCCTCTGTGCCCATACATTTAAAATATCTGGTGAAAGGAAGGGTGAAACCATATGTTGAAGGAGCTGCATCTCATTAGTGCAGCATTATTTTCATCTGATTGGAGAAGAATGGTGTCTTCATTCGGGAACGTATATAGTAGGATAGCAAATTTATCGGCTGGTAAGTGTCAAGGTATTTTTTTTTTTCCTTCCACTTTCAGCTTTTTAACCGGGTCTCCTGCTTGGTCCTGGGGGCACAAAATGCCCTAATCCAAGGCAGGCTGAGCGTTTCAATCCTAGGTGCCTCTTTAGCTGTCACTTCCCTTTAGATCTGCTGATCGCATGGGCATGTGCTTTAGAAAGATTAATCATCTCTAAACGCTTTAATCAGCTAAAATGACTAATATGTGGTGTGTATTTATCTGATAATATACCAGTTGCATTAATTCACCGGCGCATTTGCGAGGGGAAGCTTCCCTTTCGAATCAGGGCTGTTAACCATTTACTCCGGTAAAGATACTGTGGGGATTTCTGAGGGGATCCGCTCTGCCAGGGACATCAGCAAACCCTGCACACTCCTCTGAACTTATGTGTGGAATATACTGAGCCGGGAGGGAGAGGGGTTCGAGGGTTGAGGCTCAATAACTTTGGGAGTTTGCATGGATGAAGGATGGAGTGCGACACCGGAGAAATCTGCCCACTGGTGTTTCCCCCCCCCGTAGACAATGCGGGCTGTGATGGCTACAAAGCACCCGAGTGTGAGATCTGTGGAGTTCCAAACGCTGGTCCTACGGTGGAAATCATGTAGAGATGCAACACGTCCATCCTGTGTGTGCTCGTGTTGCTGTGTGGGGCTGCATGTGCCGTCCCCTTTATAGGTGGCATTTACCACGGGGAGGGGGAGAAGGGAGGCTGCTATCGCGTGATGGAACCGTCTACCATCTCTTAAGTATAAATCAGGGCAAGGCTCGCCCATCCCACACCCCTGGAGTTGGTTGTGAACGTCTGCCCAACAATTGCTGAACTTTCCAAGAGCCTAACACGAGTCTGGTAGGTAGGGGCTTAAATAAAAGGAGCGGGGCAGAAGTACTGAAATCTGCATTTTTCTTCCCGTTGCAGTTCTGTAAACACCAACAAATGATGAAACCTTCCACGGCAGAGACACTTCATAAAGGAAGGATGTTGTGGATAATTCTTCTAAGCACAATTGCTCTAGCATGGACTACACCTATCCCCTTGATAGAGGACTCGGAGGAACTGGATGAGCCCTGCTTTGATCCATGTTACTGTGAAGTGAAGGAGAGCCTTTTCCACATACATTGTGACAACAAAGGATTTATAAATATTAGTCAGATAACAGAGTCGTGGTCGAGACCTTTTAAACTTTATCTGCAGAGGAATTCCATGAGGAAATTGTACACCAACAGTTTTCTTCACTTGAACAATGCTGTGTCTATTAACCTTGGGAACAATGCACTGCAGGACATTCAGACAGGGGCTTTTAATGGGCTCCGAGTTCTGAAGAGGTTGTATTTGCACGAAAACAAATTGGACATTTTCAGGAACGACACTTTCCTGGGTTTGGAAAGTCTGGAATATCTGCAGGCAGATTACAATGTCATTAAACGGATTGAAAGCGGGGCATTTCGAAACCTAAGTAAATTGAGGGTCCTTATCCTAAATGACAATCTCATCCCCATGCTTCCCACCAATTTATTTAAGTCTGTGTCCTTAACCCACTTGGACTTGCGCGGGAACCGGCTAAAAGTCCTTTCGTACCGCGGGATGTTGGACCATATTGGCAGGAGCCTGATGGAGATCCAGCTGGAGGAGAACCCGTGGAACTGTACGTGTGAGATCGTGCAGCTGAAGAGCTGGTTGGAGCGCATCCCCTACACTGCTCTGGTGGGGGACATCACCTGCGAGACCCCCTTCCACTTCCACGGGAAGGACCTGAGGGAGATCAAGAGAAGCAAGCTGTGTCCCATGCTGTCCGACTCCGAGGTGGAAGCCAGCCTGGGCATCCCTCAGCTGTCGTCCAGCAAGGAGAACGCGTGGCCCACGAAGCCTTCCTCCATGCTGTCCTCCTTCCATTTCACCGCCTCCTCTGTTGAGTACAAAACGTCCAACAAGCAGCCCAAGCCCACCAAGCAGCCCAGGGCGCCCCGGCCTCCCCCGACCCCCCGCGGCCTGTACCCCGGGCCCAACCAACCCCCCGTGGCTGCTTACCAGACCCGACCCCCCATCCCCATCATCTGCCCCACCGGCTGCTCTTGTAGTTTGCACATCAACGACCTGGGCCTGACGGTCAACTGCAAGGAGCGAGGGTTCCACAACATCTCCGAGCTCCTGCCCAGGCCCTTGAACGCCAAGAAGTTGTACCTGAGCGGGAATTTGATCCAGAAAATCTACCGCTCCGATTTCTGGAATTTTTCCTCCTTGGATCTCTTACACCTGGGGAACAACCGGATCTCCTACGTGCAGGATGGGGCGTTCATCAACCTGCCCAACCTCAAGAGCCTGTACCTGAACGGGAACGACATCGAGCGGCTCACCCCGGGCATGTTCCGGGGCCTGCAGAGTTTGCATTACCTGTACTTCGAGTACAACCTGATCAGGGAAATCCAGCCGGCGGCCTTCAGCCTCATGCCCAACCTGAAGCTCCTCTTCCTCAACGACAACCTGCTCCGCACGCTGCCCACCGACGCCTTCGCCGGCACCTCCCTGGCGCGCCTCAACCTGCGCAACAACCACTTCCTGGCGCTGCCGGTGGCCGGGGTGCTGGAGCACCTGCACGCCATCGTGCAGATCGACCTGAAGCTCAACCCCTGGGACTGCACCTGCGAGCTGGTGCCGCTCAAGCAGTGGCTGGAGGCGCTCAGCTCGGTCAGCGTGGTGGGCGAGGTGCTGTGCGCCAGCCCCGAGCCGCTGGCCCGCCGCGACCTGCGCTCCCTGGAGCTGGCCGCACTGTGCCCCGCCGCCCTGCGCCCCGCCGCCGCCGCCGCCTCGCCCCCCGCCGCCCCTCCGCCGCCCGCGGCCACCGGCGCGGCCGCCTACGAGCTGCCCCCGGCCGCGGCCGCCGCCGCCGTGCCGCTGTCCGTGCTCATCCTCAGCCTGCTCGTCCTCTTCTTCTCCGCCGTGCTGGTGGCCGCCGGGCTCTTCGCCTTCGTGCTGCGGCGCCGCCGGAGGAAGCTGCCGTTCCGCGGCCCGCGGGCGGAGGCGGCGGACCTGGGCGCGGTGCCGCTGCGCTGCCCGAGGCTCTTTCCCGAGGGTGGCGGCGGCGGCGGCGGCGGCGGCGGCGGCGGGGGGGGGGGCACCGGCGAGCGGTCCCCGGAGAAGGCGCCCCCGGCGGGCCACGTCTACGACTACATCCCGCACCCGGTGACCCAGATGTGCAACAACCCCATCTACAAGCCGCGGGAGGAGGAGGAGGCGGCGGGCGGCGGCGGCGGTGGAGGTGGAGGTGGAGGGGAGGCGGCCGAGCTGCTGCGGGGCGGCGGCGAGCGCGGCTTCGCCCACCCCGCCGCCCCCGCCGCCGCACCGGAGCCCGGCAGCTGCTACCGCACCTTGCTGGAGAAGGAGCAGGAGTGGAGCCTGGCCGTGTCCAGCTCGCAGCTCAACACCATCGTGGCCGTGCACCCCCAGCACCCCGCGGGCGGAGGGCTGGCGGCGGGCGCGCTCGGGGCGGCGGCGGCGGCGGCGGGGGGAGCCCCGCGGGACCGCGACCGCCCGCCGCCCTGCGCCGTGGGCTTCGTGGACTGCCTGTACGGCACCGTGCCCAAGCTGAAGGAACTGCACGTCCACCCCCCCGGCATGCAATACCCGGACCTGCAGCAGGACGCCAGGCTGAAGGAGACGCTCCTCTTCGCGGCCGGCAAGGGCTTCCCGGACCACCAAACCCCCACAAGCGAATACCTCGAGTTAAGGGCCAAACTCCAAACCAAGCCGGATTACCTCGAAGTCCTGGAGAAGACCACGTACCGGTTCTGACCGCCGCCCCGCCGCCCGCCCGGCCCCGCCGCCCGCGGGCAGAGGATACAGCTGTGCGCTCTGCCCCGCCAGATGTGCGCGCTGCGGGGCAGGGCCCTTCTCAGATCAGTAATCGACGAAGTGCCTTCGCAGACTTTTGCCAGCAGATGTTAATCAATCATTATTTTTTATACTGAAACTGAGACTTTGACTGTGCCATGTCATAAAGGTATATTATTATTATTATTATATTATTATTATGGGGGATCTTTGTATTGATCCTGATTAAGTAAATTCTATGTGTGTGTCTCTCTCTCTTTTTTCTTTTCCTTTATCCTTTTTCTTTTATTTTCTTTATTCTTGTCGTTTGTTTTGTTTGTTGGCTTTTTTTTTTTTTTTACTTTTTTTTTCTCCGTTGAGAGTAAACTTCCTTGGTATTTTCCCTTGGAGGGGAGGGGGAGGGAAGATGGCATTTTGTGGCTTGCTTTCTTCTTGCCCATCATGGCACAGATTCTGTACATTTATTTAAAAGAAAAAAAAATGCAAAGAAGCAAACGAGCGCAGTTTGCTGCATGCCTGGAAACTGCAAGAGGGAAGGGAGGGGAGGGTCTTGCTCGAATGTCTCACTCTTGTCTCTCTCCCTCCCTCGCACGCACACTCACCCTCACCCTCCCCGCACCCCCCGCCAGCCCGGCCCCCCGGCGCAGGGCGGCAGCGGGGCCCGGGGGCCGCGGGGGGAATCCCGTGGGCTGGGGGAAACCCCCCCTCCCCGGAGCCGAGCAGCCCAAAGGATGTCACCACGTGGCGCACACACCTAGGGGATGCTCAGTGACACTTCATCATGACGCCATGGTTTTTTGGAGGACATCCGCACTTTCCTAATAAAAGCAACATGCAAATATACAGAAAAAGGGAAAAAAAAGAAGAAGCTACTGGGCACCTCTCACTAACAGCTTTGTAGGAAGCACTTTTAATGTTTTCTCTCATGCACACATACACGCACACAAACACACACACAAAGGTACAACAATGTGCATATATTTATTCTGTAATTTCAAGTGAATATAAATTGTAAAGGTAATGTTTAATCATTGTACAGTGATGCGTCTGGTATAGCTTTCCTAATAAAACGTTTTGAAAAACAATGCATATATATATATATATATATATATACAACCCCAAATATATATATATATATAGGAATACAAAGCTTGAACCTGAAACTTCAGCTTCCCCACGGAGATTTCCTTCCCTCCCATAACCTTGAACGCTATTTTATTAATAACAGTTCGATGCACTGTGATGTTAACAGAGAAAAAAAAACCCCTGTACAGCGTCTCTTGCCAAGATACCACCCGAGACTGTCACAAATCCGATTTGCGATCTGTATCCCTGCTGTGCTCTGCTGATAGTTAAAAATACCGGGAAAATTGAGAGCGCATCCCGCCGGAGCTCTGGCTCCCGGCCTGCTGGAGGCACCGAGGCTTCGCTGGGGTGCCCCCGGCGCTCGCAGCCGCAGTCCGTGCGGGGTGAGCAGTCAAAATGCGCAGGAGAGGGGGTGAATTAAACCACATTTCCAGTTTGGGATGGGGCGATGCGATCTGGAAAGGCACCTCTCCCCGCTCCCGCCGCAAGCGGAGCGAGACCAAAGACGATCGGATTTCCCTGCCCCCGGGGGGCAGGTCCCGGTTGGTATCTTGTCCCCGTTGGTGTGTTGTCCGCGTTGTCCCCACCGTGTCCCCGCCGGTGTTGTGTCCCCGCCGGCCCCGGGACGGGCGCGGTGCGCGGCCCCGCGCGGCCGCCAGGTGGCACCGGCGCTCCAGCGCTGGGGCGGGAGCGCGCACGGACCCGCTCCTGGAGCCGCCTCTGGAGCCGCTCCTGCATCCCGACCCCGCTCCCGGTCCGGACCCGCTCCCGACCCCTCTCCTGCCCCCCGCCCGCCCCGCTGAATGTACCCCCGGGCGCCTTATACCGGGGCGGAGCACGGCCTGCGCCGCCCCGAAGTTCTTCAAATAGCGATTTTTATACAGAAATCCCCAATCTATCCATAGATATAATTTGTCTGAGCAGCGGTCAGGGTGATGTATCCAGGTGTGTGGAGGTTATTCGCCCGCTGAGCTCCAAAGGTGCTGCCCGGAGCGCTCCTGCCGCTGTCCTGAGGGGACCGGGATTTGTCACCTCCCCGCCCCAAGGTCACTCTCCCGACCATCCGCCCTCCTCCCGCTGGGGAACAGCTCGGTTTCACCCTGCACAATGTGTTTTAACAGAGATAAACCCATAAATACTTGTTCCCCCTCCCCCCCCCAGTGTTGCTATTTACAGCTCCAACCAGGATGCTCCTTGTAGGCTTTTTGCATTCATCTGTCTTGGAGAGTCATGGTAGTAGCTGTGGGTGTCTGGAGACACAGGGACAGCTCCCAACGTCTGTAAACCCAGCATCACCTCCACTACATCAGTAAAAATGTCACCCATTTGAATTTCTTCTGTTGAGTTGATACCGTGTTTTCTCGCTGCTGCCTTCAGCTCTAATCCCTTGGGGTTGGTTCATTCATTTGCTTTGTTGTTTGTTTTGTTGTTTGTTGTTTTTTTTTTTAAAATGGATAATAGAAGAGCATGCACGTGCTAAAGGTGTGAAACATGCAAGTGCAAAGGCCAGATCCTCCTCATCATAATTGTAAGAATTACATCCATGAGCCTACATGCAAAGTAATGTGGAGCTGTATAAATCAGGTTAAAGTACAACCCCCAGTGAGAGTGGTGCTGTAAACATTTGGCAATGTCACCAAACCCCCAAGTGTTCATACTTGTATCCAAATAGAGTAAACATTGCAAATAATGTTTATATTTTAATTAAACTGCAGAAAGGCAAGAGAATTTCAACATAACTATAGGCAGTAATCTCGCCCGTGGACGGTGAGCAGATCTATTTATTCAGTGGAAAATAAATTTGTTCTATGAGAATGGAATTTTGTATTAAAAGATAATTTTTGGCTTATGTTGAGTTATTTTTCTTTCCTTGCGTAGGAAACTTCCTTTTCCTTGTGTACTGAGTTGATTTGGGGATGAATTGCTCTGGAAGTGTTGACAATATTTAAGGGACAATTCAATCTGGAAGTGTTGACAATGTTTAAAGGGATAATTCGCTTTGGAATTGTTGACAATATTTAAGTGTGATGTCTAAAGGGTGTTTTGATGACTTATTTTGCTGTTTCATTGTGTTGAGCTGAGGCTTGAGTGGGTGGCAGCAGTGCTTTCCACTGCAGGAAACTAAAATGGATCCATCATCTCTGATCTGTGATAGGTGACTCTTTACCTGGGTTACACCTAATTATTAGGTAGTATTAATGCTAATTATATCATTATCAGCAGTATTCTTGGTAGCATTCATGATACTGGGAAGGAATCAAATAAAGTCAAAGTGATCTGCAGTTACATTAGAGCTGTTTGACGGGACACTATTTTAAATAAATATTTTTTTAGCTTATTTCATTGTTGTACAAGTACCTGGTGTTGGCTTGAGCAGTTCAGCCTGTGAGGGTGCTGGTAGCAAAGTTTTCAGCATGTGTTTGGTCTGTTCACTCATTGACTATATTGAAATTCTTCCTACAGGTGGAAAACAACAGCAAGGCCAGGTAAGTCCCAATCAATAACAGCTGCACACAGGGAAATGGAAAGGATGGTGCTCAATTATTGGTGCTCTTTTTTAGTTTCTGGATATTGTCATTGATGTCACTGTCACATTGTGCCCTGGGTTAAAAAATTTACTTGGAAATTGCTTCATGGATCTCTTGAGTGTATCAACAGTGAGAGAAAGATGTTCATTGTTACAGTATGAATAATAATCTGAATTTTGGGAAGCAATCCAATGCCTGTTGCAGGAAGATAGGACCTGAACTGCTCTGGTTAGATGAGTATTGAGAGTGAGAACCTCATTTGTTATTCAGTGAATATGAGTTAAGCTGTGGTAGCTCAAGGTTTTGTCAGAGGCCTTTCCAGACAAAACCACTTTTGAGCGTGGCTGATTCGGTTTTAAGCTAGAAATGTGTGTTTTCGTTCAACTTATGTTCTCTCTGTGAACTTTTCCAGCAGCAGGAGAAAAAAGGTCTCTACAAAATGTCAATCTGCAGTGCTGCACCTTTCTGGAGAACTCAGGTGTGCCAGCAGCACTTCATGAGCTCTGTGCTGCTTCCACTTGGTTCAAGTACCTCCTTCAGAGGAAGGAGACCTGATGATTTGGGTTTAGGTTGAACAGAAATGTTCATATGAAAAAAAATTGTGTAGAATTTGGCTGTAAGTGGGGGAGTTCATCGCTCAGCTACATCACTCAACCACAGGGTACGACTTTTGGCAGAGCTCCAGCCACTTAGGTGGGAACTTGTTCCAGGCTTGCATTTCTTCCAAAGGCACTTGCTTTTACAATGTGGATTTATGTACACTTGGAAATCAGGCTGCTGTGCGTGGCATATTCTTATTTTCTGAGTTTTCCAAGGCCCGATTCTAAATCTGGCTTCCTCATAGCTGGGTTTCACAGTGAATTTATGTAGGGATGGATTTATGAATGGGTTATACAGTACAACACAGTTGTTCTCCGTGGAAGAAATGGAAATCCACACAATATGGAGTTTCACAGCAGCTTTTTGTACAAAAATTGCTATTTTTTGATGCTGATGTGAGTGGAAATACATCTCCTTTTTCCAATTCTTGAATTATTGCTGTTTTGATTGGGCAGGTGTAGCTATGCCCCAGTTTGAAACCTGTTTGAGCTAGTGGAAGAATTGGAATGTGCTTGGAATAAACCCTTGAGTGGGTATGGACTGGAGGCCCAACTCTGCTCCCTTGGAGCAAGTGTTGAAACACCACATTATGCTCAGATTTAGTCAACAGACTTGAATGAGGAGCAAAATCTGATCTCAGAAAATTACAACATACATTAAGTGGATTCAAGTATGTTGAGACAAGTGCTCCCTGTGACTATTTCAGAATAAAATGAGTCATGGTACAGAGAAAATGGGTTTGTATCCATTTAGTAATTTTTCTGATTGACCTCACTCACAAATTAATGCTTTTGATTTTAAAATAAGAATATTTGCATCAAGACAAATTAGTTTA